CATTGACTCAATTGGACTTGCCACATCAACAGTGGCTACAAGAGTAGGTCAGCAGTTAGGAATACTGCAGTGAGTAACTCACCTCCTGACTCCTCAAAGCCTGTCCACCATCTACAAGGCACAAGTCAGGAGTGTGATGGAATATTCCCCACTTGCCTGGATGGGTGCAGCTCTAACAACAGTCAAGAAGCTTGACACCATCCAAGACAAGGCAGCCCGCTTAATTGGCATCAAATCCACAAGTATCCACTCCCTCCACCACCAATGCTCAGTAGCAGCAATGTGTACTATCCACAAGATGCACTGCAGAAATTCACCTAAGATCCTTAGGCAGCACATTCCAAACCCATGACCACTTCCATCTGGAAGGACAAGGGCAGCAGATACATAGGAACATTGCCACCTGTAAGTTCCCCTCCAAGCCACTCACCATCCTGACTTGGAAATATATTGCCATTCCTTCAGTGTCACTGGATCACATTCTGGTCAATTCCTTCTACCTTGGCTATATACATACAATATAGATATATATTATATATATTTATGCCTTGCCTACCAGACTGATTTGGCATTTCTTCTACACTTGCCTGTGCATCACCCCATATTGCGATCCCACTCTCTCACCCCCCTGCCAAATTATTTTAAAATTACCACCAAAAACAGACCCAATGATCCAGGAATACAAAGCCCACCCCCCCCTCCTGAATCAATTCAGCAGCCACACATTCATCTGCTCTATTTGCCTACTCCTATACTCACTAGCACAAGGCACCAGTGGTAATCTGGAGATAATAACTATTGAGGTTCGGCTTTTCAATCTGCTACCCACCTCCCCAAATTCTTGCTGCAGGACCTCATCCTCTTTCTACCTATGTCACTGGTCCCAAAGTGAACCATTATCTCTGACTGTTCACGCTCCCCTTTTAGAATCTGCTGTAGCTGTTCAATGACACCCCTGACCTTGGCAGCAATTCACCATCATGGAGTCACATTTGCAGCCACAGAAATGCCTGTCTGTCCCCCTCACTATTGGGTGTTCCACCACTCTATTCCTCCTCCTCCCTCCTTGTGCAGCTGGGCTCCGAGTTGCCCAGAGGAGCCCTCATCCTCACCCTTTGCCAACATAGCCAAACTGTTCGAGCAAGATGCACACAGGGGGTTCCTTAGCTACCTGCCTGTTTCCCTTCCTTCTTTCTCACTGATGGTCACCTGTTCCTTCCCTGACTGGGCTTCTTTAAGCTGCAGGGTGACAATGTCTAAAAAACGTGTGCTCCAATGAACTCTCAGCCTTGCAGATGCACTGCAGTGTCCTCTGCTGTCCAACAAGCTCCAAAACCCAGCATCCAGCTGCTCAAAATGGTGACGCTGCAGATGGCATCACCTAGACTGCAAAGGAACACCGACGACTTCCCCAAACATTGCAGGCTGAGCACGTGGAACTGAGCTCTCCTGCTATACCTCAAGCTAAATTTCTCCCAGCTAAATTAATGCCAAGTAGGAAAAAACAAAGTTAACATCAAGTCCAGTATGATGATTCTTCACAGAATGGTTCTTCAGTTCTGAGGAAGTCAAATTGGACTCCAAATGTTAACTTTCTCTCCACAGACCTGTTGAGTTTCTCCAGTATTCTGTGTGTTGGTTTTAGAAATCAAGTTTATTTTACTATTAACTCTAAAGTGTAGAATGTAGATTCTTTTTCCACACCTTGACTGACAAATCAGCTCCTTTTCCTATGCCTATAGGTTCCAACAAAGTGCTAAGATTTTTTGTACATGCACCTGAGGGGACAGAGAAGGCCTCCACTTAATACTTGGTCCAAAAGACTGTACCCCCAGCAGCACAGTATTCTCTCAGTACTGAAATTACAGCCAACTGCACTGTTCAACTCTCAAAAGTCAGATGTGAACCCATGATCTTTTGACTCCAGGTGGCTGAATTCTCCAGAGCATTGCACTCAAAATAAACAGGTATTAGGAGAAGAGATGATAGTAAAGTTTATAGTAAAGTTTACCCCAGCAAGACATTATCTGCCCATCCAGAACACAGCCCTTCTTAGTCCCAATATGATGGCATGACAAACAGGGCTGTTTTCTTACAGTTGGTGCCACCATTGGGCAATCTGGACCCCCCACCATTTCTAATGTTGACTTATGTTGTTGAAAAGGTGGTGACAATCATCGATTATTGAAAGCTGACATTGTGGAATGAAACGAGGTAGGCCTTGGCTCATTGCTGAACAAGAGTCATTGCTTTAATAAGGCTCAATGGCTCAGTTAATCCATACACAGAACCCAGTGGTGATACCTGGTCACTATCCAATACCTGGTCCTGAAAACCACAGATGATCAGGACTATCACAGTCAAGTATCTTGACAACATCCACTGCTCAGGTTAGGTGCCAGAGGCTGGATATAGGCAGAGGAGTAAATAAGCAAAGTGAGTGGCTGTGAATCTGTAATCCTGGCTGGCAGGAGTGGGAAATGCTAGCTAAGCTTGTCCTTGGGAGTGTCCCACAGTGCTCTCCACACAATCAAATTTTGAGGAATTCCTCTTCAATATTTCCCCTCCAGAGACACACACACGCTTTCATATATAAATTTCACATGCAAGGGATTACTTTGATCGTGGGTATGTTAACACAGGGTTACGTCACAGTTTATTTTATACATAAGCAGATTGTTTGAAATGCAAGGATGACCGGTGTCCTGATCCTCCACCATGACACTGACCGTCACAACGAACGTTTAAATATGTTTGCTTTTTAAAAAGAGGCCTTAGAGACAAAATAATGATTGAACATGTTAATTTTGAACAATGTAATTGAGTAATTGCCTGGAAGACCTGGTGTGTGGTATATCCGGATCCAGGGTGACCCTGGAAAATCACACCTGATGTGTGTCAATGGAGTTTCAAAGAAAGGGTTTTGAAAAGGGACAAACTCAATACAAACTGAACTGTAATGCCCTGGAAGTTATTACAGATTGTTAACACAATGGGAGAAAGACAGCAGTCTGGGTAGGAGATATGTTGGTGTTTCTCATTCAAGAATACACAAGATTCGAGGTTAGAGGCCAGTTTCAACTCACTCACCAACCAGTATCACTGCTACTGGCATCACCCAAAATAATAGCCACAACATCCCACTGTTGACACCTCACGTTTCTAATCTGTTAGTGTGTGTGAATAAAGAAGTTTGGGGGGGGGGGGGGGGGGGCCCCCCCTTCCTATCTAGGGGATGTACGGTT